CAAAATTAAACCAGTTACATACTAGGCAAAAAAAATGTCCACTGCTTTCCAAAGAGAGCAGCCTCAAGCATAAGTCAATCTACATAGTTTGTTTCTCCAAAGACTCACCGTGTTAAACCAGAATTTCACAATTGGTGCATGATAGAATGCATAAAACTTCTGTGTAATTGGAAGCCTCTTCGGTTTAGTTGGTGTCTCCAGGTCATGCTTTTCTTCAGAACTGTCCAAGATTCTTACTTCTTTAAATACTTCCTAATGTAAAAAAGAATAGCTATGAATTCATGTATAGAAATATTTATTTTTAGGGTATTTTGGGGATGTTAATTTTGATTTTATATTACCATAGGTATTTCATCTACTGCATTCTGGAAGTTGTTTTCACTATCTTCCATTGTCATTTGGTGTGCATCTTGAGACTGCGGAATATGGGACATTTCAGCCTTGGTCTTATATTCCAATAACAGTATGGCAGGGGGAAGCAAAATGCTCAAGATCACCTGTAAGAGATGTCGGAGTTATTTTAAATTTGTATTTCATTTATTTCATTATATTAAAGTTTCAAAGAACACCAGAATATACCCCTGTAAAATATATATATATATATAAAATCCAAATGGTCCTTATTAGTTAGTAAAAGATGCAGAAGTGAATTAGTTTTTGTTATGTGTAACTTAGAGGACATGGACGAACATATAAAGAATGTTCCATGAAATCCAGGGGAGTTGGAAGTGGGGTAGGAGAAGGAGTAAATCGGCAAGTTCCAAAACAGAATGCTATGTGACAGAACATATTCCAAGAAAATAGAAATGAGCTACAGGTAAAGCTGGTAAATTCACAGGTCTTTTCTACATCTTCACCCCAATTTTTCCAGGAACAATACTGAAGTCTATAGCCAAAGCACATTTAAACAAGCACAAGTCAGTTTTTAAATATACATGTGAGCCAGCTATTTGTTAGGGTCAGTTCATTTCAAGTTGAGAGAGGGGCAAAACATTTTAGCTGGTGTATAAGATTTTTAGTACATTGTGTAGGTGGTACTTCTGGAGGTTATATATAAATGTTGCACTTTTGGACAGGTTTCACCTGTTACATTCTAGAGTATGTTTTTAGTGCAGCATCTGTGACGGAGGCACACAACTGCCTTTTTGCTTAACTAAAGCTACATGAGTTGCACTATTGTTGAGTGCCTACACCAACGGATCCTGAAGATTCATCTGGCAGCGTTTCAGTGTTCGCCCTCCCCTTGCTCAGCTTGTGCCTCCAAAGTAAAACAGCTGTTCTACCTCAAGTTTAATTTATTGCCTGTATAAAGCCAAAGCACACGGAACTGCAATCTTAGAGAAAGTTTTCTGTCTGTTAATTTTGAACCACTATATTTTTAGTAGTGGATTAGTATTCATAATGATCTATAAGCCTTCGATTAAAGGCTACTTGCCTGTTTTCTGCCTTGTATATGTCTGTACCTTATTTGAAAAGATAATACAGTATCAAAAGAAGTGTTAACAATATATAAATTTCCAGTTTCAAGTTAAAAATGTTATAGCAGGACTCTTTTACTGCATTTATTAATACAAACAAGTTTTAGTGATAAATGTTTAAAAATAATAGTACTTATGTACATGCTCTCTTTCCATTTAAGCACAAATATAGTAAAAAGTGTTGGACAATTTTACACTAACAATAAATTATAAGGATATTACCTTGTACCATGAATTCTTCCGCATGTTCAGCCTTCCCATCCACATATCAGACAACAACATTTGTGTACAAGTATGAGCAACAAATGGGCGAAGTCTTGATGACACTGCTAGCTTAAGACAAGTTGAGTTACTCCAGTTTTTCAGCTCATAGGTTAGTAACTTCATAGACATTGTTTCATCCTGTCGGAAGGACTGTTCTAATAGTTCAACTGCCAGCTGTCCAAACTCACTACAAAGTGGAAAAAACCACAGTAGATAGGCTTACCAAATTTGGTTCTGAAGGAGCTCAGCTTATGCGTACTAAAGTAGAGGTGTAGAGGAAAATTTTCCTCTTTCCATTACAACAATGATCAAGATAAATGCCTGGGTCAAGCAAATGCATTTTATATGACCAATCTTCTGTGAATGCAACAGGATGGGCTATACTGGGCATTATCAGACTTTCAGCCTGTACTGTCATCTAACAAACACACTTACATTAACTAAATATAAACTGTACATGTGCTTTTCTTAGAATACATATATTTTCAGACTATATCTATGCAGTGCAATACCAACAGTGAAAAAAGGATCTGTAAAGGAACTTGGCAACTGGTGTTTTAATATAAATACAGACAGAGTGCTTCTCTAGAAGCAATATAAATTAAGCTGTATCATATGCATCTTTTATTAGAATCCAACTTAATACTTGAGAAAATCCCTTTTCTCTATATATGCCACAGATGGGATATGGCTTTCCATTCATAACTACCTTGCAATCATTATTTTAAGAAAGCTTAGAGATAAGATACAAAACAAGATAAAAAATAATTTACTTGGAATACTGCTTCAGTTCTTCCGAGGTATCATCAACAAGGTCACTTTGCTTTGCTTCATATGCCATTGAGCGGTACACTTTACAGGCAACTAAGGCTTTAGCCATGGATTCTTCACCGTGCTGCCAGAAGAAGAGGGCCATCTTCTGCCTCTTCATCAGCACTGCCCAAAGTAACAGCTCATTAAGAGGATAAGGAAAACGTCTAGTTTCAGGATCATCAATATCTACTATTTCATCTTTGGTTCTTTTCTTTTTTCCTTCTTCTGCAGTGGTATCAATCTTGAAAAAAATTAAAAGGAAATGTCAGGAAATGTTTTCAACAAATTTAGATTTAAAGTACTGCTGATAGTGACGCAACACTCAAGGAATGTACATTTGTAGTATACTTATCAGTTTATGTTTACTATAGACTAAACTCTAGTAGAATCTTGCTAATGCATCCTAATGACTGGAAACACACTTACACATTACCCAATTACCAGATTAGCAGGTTATTTGACAAAGCAGCAGTGAATAAAATATACCTAAAGAAGGATGAAGCAAGTGGTTGAAAATACTTTTACTACCCAAGAGCAAAATTCAGCTTTACTACTGGATCCAATAGGTTAAATTGATTCTGAAGGGTACAGGTGTGCAATTTACTGCAGAGTAAAAGGGAGACGGAGCTTTATAACACTTCAGTTGCTTCACAGTAACTGTTCAGACTCACATTCTTAATCTTTAGTAAACAAAAACTAAACAAGGCTAACCTACTTCACCAACTGAAAAGCTAAGCCAATACAATTCAGTTTCCACTTACCAGAAGGTAAGAGCACAAACAGGAGTAGTTTCTGCAGAGCAACTGATGTGGGGTAGAGCTCCACCAACTTTAACGTGGCAGCAAATTGTCTGTATGTCCAGATAGTAAGTGTTTTACCAACGATAAGGTTTTGGCCCTTAATAACCATTGTGTATTAATGTTTAAAAATGCATTCTTAATGAAGATGTTACTAAGTGCTGGACATATTACCAAAAAGTATGAAGATGAGTGAAATCCTCACCTTACTGAAGGTCAATAGGACTTTTCCCACTGATTTCAATAAAGCAAGAATTTCACCTGAGGTCCTTGCCTTGGAAAGTATACAGTAAAGGAGACGCACAGAGATAGTGTACACGTATACCTTTGGTTTGTAAGGCTGTGCAGTTTTGATGAAGTGATTATGTCGCATTTTTTCTCTTTTATCTGCTCTGTTACCAAAAGACTCATGGCTTTTACGCAATTGAGGAGTATTATTTGAAGGATTTCGCCCAGACCGCTGGAAATTAAAAATAATGTCAAATGGGGTTTTTAAATTAAACACAATGGGAAAAAGAAATTATATAAGCAGCTGTTTAAAGCCAGATGCATAACTTATTCAGTTAAGTGTCTATTTGTCTATTGAGATGGTTATAATCACTTCATAAGTTTGATTTTCACATAGTAATTAAAACTCTTGTATTGCAAGACATTTTCTACATGAACAAATCATACTTATGAAACCAGTCATTTTAAAGTAAAGATTTACAAGACTGGGCTCTAATGCCAAAAAACAGCCAAGATTTTTTGTGACTAGAAAAATAATTTTCTAAATAGTCTCAATTCTTAAATATAAACATATTCTGATAAAAATATTGTAATTTAAAGCAATGTCTAGTTATCAGAATGTCCCATACCCGATTGTTCCCACTGAGACTGTTGTATATGGCTCTAAAGCGTTTCCTTGTGTATGTGCACCTGTAGGTTCCTCCCATCAAATATTCAATAACAAGTCCAACATCGATCAGATTGATTTTATATCCTGGAGGAAGGTTTCCCTAGAAATATGAAATCATGTTGCACAGTTACACATACAGTACTATCACATATACCATAAGTCTAGCTGAATATATAAAACTTCCATTCTAAAAGGCTATGAAGCAGCCTGGACTATAATTTTCCTATGTACAGTACTGCATTGTTCCAATTACAAGTCAACCCTATTTTGCAAAAACAATTTTAGAAAAAGCAGCTTTTCCCTAAATACAAGTCAATAACCAAAGATAAAATTATTAAACTCCTATTGCCCTTGCAAAAACCCACGGAAGAAACAACAGATCAGGAAAGGGATCCAAAGGCTCAAATGTACTAAAAATACAAAAATAAAAAACTGCACTGAAAAAACACTCATTTGGTATTTTTATTGCAGGTACTGCAGGTACAAAAGTCAAATCACTGGAGACTGATTATAGATTGACACTGCATATAAGACAAGTGCAAATTTTCTGGTTTTTAGGGATGGAGAAGAGGCTGACTTAAATTGTAGCATCTTCTCAGGAAGTTGAATTTGGTTTTTGTAGTTTTGTAATTTAGGAGTCCCCTGTGGTTCAGTGGCAGAATCCTTGTCTGTCATACAGGAGACCTGCATTCAATTCCTAGATGCTTATACAAATACAGCCATGGAGGTACCAAAGGTCTGGACTCAGTCTGGCTTTTGGATTCTGTCTCAGTGGCCTAGAGGGAGGTCTGGGCAGCCTCCACTCCTCCAAAAAAACTCCGAGAAAACACCCCCAAAACCTCCTGCCTAGGCATATGTATCGAAGGTCTGGGTGACTTCTCATGCATATACCATGATCCAGAAGGATCAACAATTGTCAAACTGAGTTTTGTAATTTAGTCCTATTAACTACTTCCAGCTTAACTGGTAAATGCTGCTTAAATTTGACCTTCCCCTATATGATACAACAGGAATACACCTCACACCAGTGTCCTAGCTGTGACCCTGTTTCTCATATGGCTGACCTGTATATGTTCCACCACGTACTGTGCTCTTAGGCAACAGGGTCAAGAATAGGAAGGAAGCAGGGCTTGTCCCAAAAAGATCAGCCCCTTTTACCTCAATGTTATACCAGCTCACCACCATGTTACCTAAAGCCAAGAGGGCCAAGCGTGTTGTCTGAGTAGAGCCAAATTAAACCTTCTAACAAGGCTCGTTGAACCAAGGTAAGGCCAGAAGATTCTTCACTCAGTGAAATGAGTTCTATAGAACAGGACCTACTCCTTGGATACAATTGTTACTAACTGCCTATTCAAATGCTCTGAGCACACAAATACTCTCATCAAAATCAATTAATTCTTCCCAGAAATTTTACAGCACTAGGGCCTGTAAGTAGTGCAAAAAAAATCTCTTCCAGAAAGAAGACTTTTTTAAGTTACTTCAAACAGAAGAGAAAGATAAGGAATAAATAGCCTGTTTCTCTTTGGCCAGTATCCTGAAGATGAAGTCTGTTGCAAACAGAAAATGACTACTCTAGCTATTAATGCTAGTAAGCTTCCCTTTCCAAAACAGAATATATGAAAGAGAACCAATATAATATCAGTTTTCCCTCCCATCAGGTTCACACATTTTACCCAGGAAGCTGTGTAAAGAAAACAGTGTATTACTACAATCATGTAGGCCATGCCCATTTTCTTCTGCAGATAGCTTTAGAATATTATTTCACCCATCTCTATTCCTGTAAGCAGCATGCTAGTCTGAACACATTAAACTAATTTATGGATTATGAATTCTGCCTAGAGTAAGTTCATTTAACTATCAGTGAGAAAACACATTTGAAAGTGTTATCTGTGGTCTTAACTATGGGCACATACTTAATTACCACCATTAGTTAGCCTCTCAAAACTGTAGTGAAAGTGCTTTTAGTGGACCAAAAACATTCTGCTTCTCAGAAGTTTTTCCTCCCATACCAGTTGGGCATATGATATGATCTTGTATGTCAATGTGTTCATTATTCTAATTCAGGGGTGGCCAACCCATAGCCATGAGCGCAGCATTTGGTATGCAGCAGATCTGGCAGGGAGCAGAGAGAACAGTGCTGATCAGGCAGGGAAGAGAGCAATGGATGAGGAGAAGGGGACTGGAGAGGGGAAAGGGCTTCCTTTGTGGCATGCCAACAAAAAGGTTGGCCCCTTCTGCTCTACTCAGTAAAACTAAACTTGACTTTAATCCTTACAAGAAAACTTTGTGCAACAACAGTAGTCACTAATGTAACAGTTTTGGTACAAATTTAAGACATACCTGTTTGACATCACGAACAAGGTGAAACAGTGTTGGGTTAGTTGGGCCTTGTTTCTTTATCACAAAAGAAAAAAGGGAAAAAAGAATTTTGGACAATGTAATGAAAAGTGCAAGGATGACACAGGAATATGGAAGCAAGAAGTGATATTCTTTACACAGTAACACTTAAATTACATCTCTTAACAGGCAGGAACAAGTAAATAGAATAATTCTAACAAAGAGCAGTGAACGGTTCCTTTTCATTTCCAGTTTCCTTCAATTTTTTGAAAAAATGATATCATTTTTAAAGTCACCCATTAATGTACTACAGTACATTTTATAATCTCATCTATAACAAAGAAGGAACTCCACTACATAAGCACACAGTTTGTTCTAAATAGCAAAATTTACAAAAAAATAACAACTCAGACACCACTCCTAATACATGTTTTCCTATTTATGTTTAGCAAATTAAACATGAAAAGTAAAAATTTGTAATTGCTGCAGTCACTGGCCCAATAATATCTCATCTCTAATAGAAAAATGTTTGTCTGCCTTCTCTAAATTCTTTTGAAAGGCCTACGTAAATCAGCATATCTGCTATAGTGTCTGTACAACACTACAAAGATATACAGCATATTAAATGTTAAAAAGCAGCAATATAAAACATAGGTTTCTCATTAAGTAGCTGTCCTCATTAAAGCCTCATCTTCAGGCATGTGGACTTATTCATGGAGCTCTGATAATTAAGTTTCCAGGCTTCTTGTACTGATTACTATGGCTGTGTAAAAAGCCCGTTCCATTTTGGTTTTGGATTCAGCCATTTCGGAGGGACATTTTAGTGTATTGGATCACTATTCCGTTTTGATTTGGCCAAATCCGTTTTAGAGTTTCGACACTGTTTCGGCACTGATTCGGATATTCAGATCGGTCGAGGAGAGGCAGGCACAACCAGGCGGCTGCAGGTTCTCCCATTGCTCCTCCAGCTGTGCCTGCATCTTCCTAGGCAGGGGGGAGCTGTGTGAGAAGACCCCATGGCTACCCTGCCCGGGCCCAGCCTCCCAGCACTTTAAAAAAAAAAAATAAAAAAAAAGCAGCAGCCACGCACTCACCAGCTGTAGTAGCAGCGATCAGAGGGCTTGTGGCAGAATGCCTCCCAGGCTTGGCAGGGCGCTGCATGCTCTCTGGGAGCTAGGGCCACTGGGGGCTGAGCCATGCTTTGCTCCAGGTGACTGCTGCAGCCACCCCAGCTCTCAGACAGCATACGGCGCCCTGCTGAGCCATGCTGCACCCGCGTGATGGAACAGCTGCTGTGCAGGTGCCAGGTGGGGGGGGGGTGATCCCCACTGCCCCCCATTGCTGCATGGGGCTCTGCCGTGAGCCCCCAAAAGGCCTGATCACCACTGCTACAGCCAGTGAGTATGGGACTTTTTTTCTTTTTTTGGAAGTGTCAGAAGGCTAAGCATGGCAGCCATGGGGGCATCTCCTGCAGCTCCTCCGGCTGTGCTGGCAGCGACCCCAGCTGGCAGTGGCAGCATGCTGTCATCCCGTGCACAGATCCAGGGGCCCGCACCCCCCAGAAGGGCTGCAGGGCTGTGCCAGACTCCTTCCAGAGGGTGTAGGCCCCCGGATCTGCGCGCAGAATGACAGCAGGCTGCCATCCCTCCTGCAGAGCCCTGGGATTGGAAGCGACCTCAGGGACAGATCGCGACACTGGCCAGCTACAGATGTCAATATCAGAGCAGTCC